TTACTTTATCTTTTCTATTTTCTTTGTATATTTTATTTTTAATGTAGTCATTTTATGTTAATTATATTTGTTTCTACACTTAGATTTTTTTCCAACTGTTTTTACACATATTAAGAAACATTTAATTTTTATACATTTGAACTAAATTACTCTCATTTATTAATTTACAGATTTTCACAATATTTCTACAAAACATAATGTTGCACTCAAAATAATATTAATGTTTCACTTAAACTATTTTTAATAATTAGCTGCACATAAGGGTATGATTGAAAAAAAAAACATACATGCATAAAGATGTATTAGAGCATCTCTAATGAGTTTGTTTACATTATTGCCACATAGTTCTGATTTACTTTATGGGTTACTTAAATTTTAGCAAAGTTGCTTGTAGAAGTAATTTTGCTAAAATTTAAGCAATCCATAAAGTGGACCAGAGCTGATGTGATAATGATGTGACACAGAGAGTTGCTTACTGCAGATGCTCTTAAAATCCTAAAAGAATCAAAATTTTGAAAGAAAAGGGGTGGTAAGTGGTGGCCAACTGTTGTTCTCTTGATCCCCTTGAAGAATTTAGGTTGAAATTGGAAGTGAGTTTGAAGTGTGGTAACAAGATATGAGTGTTGTCATAATTTGTCTCGTAGTGTGTTTTGAGAGAGTGCAATAGAAGCATTGATTCTCGCTGCCTCAAGTTCTTGAGCTGTCTTTGTTTTCCCTACATGCACATGGCAATGGCAGGTGCAGCATTCCACAAATACTGTGTGGCCAAAGTTATAGGCTCTGCATTCTACTATCTACCTATCTATCTTTTTTCTACTTTTCATCTTGTTTGTTACCATCATTTTTATTTTAACTTTCCATCCACTATTGATAAAGCCACCCCTTTTGGGTTAAAGTGTGTGTAAGAATTTGTACCATGTTTGTTTTGTGCGTCATTTCAAACAGTTCGTCGTATGAGCCACGGCTACCTTCGTTCTCGGGGTAAACGTTGCCATCACCATATTTGACTTCATTCTTTAATGGGTATTTGTATTTGGTAACATATCTAAAACGTGATTTAAAACAAAAATTATGTTTAAAATATAAAAATTATAACTAATAATTTTTATGTAAACGTAATAAATTATATTAAAAATCTGAATCAAACACACACTTAATATTTCACACTGCCTTTCAAATCATCTTCAATTTATATGTTGCCATGTATACTTGTGGGAACAAGTAGTTTTGGTAATCTCACTTTATTTAATAAATCTCTCTATCGATTCGTAGGGGGTGTATTGGATTAGGATTTTAAAGGACTTTTTTATTGTTAGCATCACTGGTATGCGGCCTCAACGGCACACCTAGAGTAATATATGCATATGATGTATGTCATACATTCATTATTTCATGGACTTCAACATTTGACTTATTACAAAATTTCATTTAGTACATCATGTCATTATTTTCATATTCTCATAGTCACAAGTTGTCTCAATAGTCTATGTCTCAATAGTCCATTCACATGTCATTTGTGCATATTTCACATGGTCATGTCATAAATACTCCTCATAAGGTCCGCACAGGAATTCACAGAGATTCACAGAAAGCATTCTTATTCATATTAAAACTCATTTATTTTTTTAACATAATTTCATATTCATCATTACTTCCAACAAGGAACAAAGTAGAGCAAATAGAAAGTAAAATAGAATAACAAGCAAGGGATTGGGGACCAATCCGACAATCAAACTATCCAACAATTATCCCCACACCCCCGAGCGAGGTTTCTCACTCCCCCCTTACCTGGATAAGCAGGAGTTGAAACTTGGGCAGGGTCTCCTCTTCTGGATTCCCTCTTTCTTTCCCTCTCTTTCTTTCTCTTTCTCTCTCTTTCTTTCTCTTTCTCTCTCTCTCTCTTTCTCTCTCTTCCTCTCTCTCTCTCTAAGATTTTCACCTTCTCACTAAGTTATAAATTTTTTCACCTCCTATGCCCTATTTATAGGCATCCTGGCACACCCGGAACGGCCCGTACTGATTTCGGAACGGCCTGTTCCGGATCCTTCAAACATATGCAAAATTCTCAACTGGAACGGCCCGTTTCAAAAAGCAGAACGACCCGTTCTAAAATTAGAACGGCCCGTTCTGAAGTTCATTTTACACACATTGACCTTTAATGGAACGCCCCTTTTCTAACTAACCTTTTTAGACATTTTTAGAATTCCGGAACGGTCTGTTTCCCTTAGGGTGTAACACCCAAATTTTTATTATTATTTTAATGGCATTTTCGTAATTTTAATAAAGTTATAGGGGTATTTTGGGTTCTGGAACGGGCCGTTCCAAAAGTGGAACGGGCCGTTCCAAATGTTGAAAATGTGAGGTTTTTGTAGTCCCAGAACGGCCTTGGAACGGGCCGTTCCGGTATGGAGAACGGGCCGTTCCGGAAGGAGAACGCCTAACAAATTCATCTTATATATATATATATATTGTAGAGATTATGATATCAATTTCATCTTTCACCTTTTTCTTTTCTTGACGTGTGTTATTAAAAAAATTATCACTTAAAAGTTGAAATTTTAAGCATTTTTTTTGTGTTATATAAAGGAACAAATTCAACTATACAGAAAAAAATAAAGCAAGTCAATTAAAGAGAACGAACAGAAAAATAGAGCTAATCAATGACACTATCATTTATATATCGGAGTTTCACAAAATAGGGGAATGGGATGAGAACAGTACTACAATATTATATATGAGCAATAAAAAATGGAGAAGACAGAAGCATAGAAAAAAAAAAGATGAAAAATTCACTTGAAAATTCTTGAAAAGTCACTTCAAACAATCCTTCAAAATCCGATGGGTTTGGATGGGATTGTTTTATGAATTTGGTATTTATAGATAACACTAGAAAGTCTTTCAAAATCCTTCTCACACAACAATCCTTTAAAATCCTTATATTTTTGAATACCAATGGATTGTTTTTAAGTTGTAAAAAATCTCAAATGAATACCAATGGATTTTAATGGACTCTTTAAAAAATCTTGAAAATCCATATTGAATACTACTGGATTGTTTTTAAGTGACATAAAATCCTGATTGAATACCAATAGATTTTTTTACTCAAAAAAAGTCTTTTAAAATTCTACGAAATCCTAAACCAATACACCCCCGTAGTTTTTAATAAAATTTGTATACTAATGTACTATAAATTGGAATTCCTATTTTGAAGAGTTAAACCATTACTTTTCTATCTCGTTTTTAATAAAATTTGTGTACTAATTTACTATAAATTTGAATTCCTTATTTGAAGAGTTAAACCATCATTTTTTTTATTTATCTCTCAATTAAAAGTTTTCAACACTCTTATCCATTTCTCTTTAGAAAGTGCATTTCACGCACAATCTATGTAATTAGTTAAAACATATATTTTTTTCAATCATCTCAAATTATTCTCTTTTTTCTTCTTCAATAGTATACTTGTTTTTCTTAGTCACCTACCCGTTTCAGTTTTTTAAAAATGTTATATCACAATTGAAATTAATTATTATAATATCCAAAATATAACTTGTATATTTGAAAAAGATTTACTTTAAAATTTTAAAATATAATATAATTTAAAATCTAAAATATTTATTACTAGTTTAAAATATATGAGTAAAATTGTCTCAAATTAATTATTTTTTAATTAAAAATTTCCTCATAGATAACCTTTCCAAGTTCCAACTCTACTTATTAAAATTATAATCTTTAAAAGAGAGGTGTACTTATTAATGTGGCTCAATTTAAAAGGGGCTTTCGATGTGCACACTATACCTTACAAGGCTTTTTTTTGTCTCTTCATGGCTTGCTTTTATTAAGCACTGGAAAGCCCTGTTTATCTTGGGCCCTTCAATTGGGTCTTACGAGCCCATTGATTTCCTCAGTCACACCGATTGCCTTTGGAATTGGTTCATAGCTATTAGCTAGTGACTGAGTGTGATCTTTCTCCTCCTTTCTTCTCTAATAATCTCTACATTCTCTCTGTGTTTGTGTGTTTTGTTGATAAAATACATTCTTTGTTTTTAGTAGTCATAGTAGAGTTGATCCTTAATTTTTCGTGTTTTTTATTTTGTCTAGTTTAATTCGATGGCTTCTTTGTTGTTCATATCGTAGCCTGCATTTTAATCTATGATGCATGGATATTGGTACGTGGAACACTTTATCTTAGCGGGGGTAAACAAAAACAGTTACGAATTGACCCTTTTCAAGAACGTTTTTCTCCTTTCTACAAGACTTCAGTATCAATGACACATATATTATAGTAGTTTTTTTTTTTGTTCGTCCCTGGAGTATCCACCGCCGATGATAGTAACTAATCTCTGCGGGTAGTTTTAGTATTATAAGCAATTTCAATTAATCTACGAAAATAAACTAATTTTACATGCAAGTATTATCAAGTTGTTACAATATATTAATATATATTTCACTTGTTTAGACACAAAATAAAATAAAAAAAGTAAAAATTTTATGATGCAAAGTAAACATTGGTTTTTGAGAAATATCTTATATGATATATAGGTGCAATATAACTTACAAGTATCTATTTGTCACATATAGTGTTTCTACTTATTCGAACATGATTATTTTAGGTAGAAGATACACGTTGTCTACACATGGTAGTTTGCCACTGGTGCAAATTTGTTATCCTAGCTTGGTGTGAAGATTGAGAGACAATCTAAACAGAAATCAACCATGGACTATAATGTCTAATTTGACAATTTTATCCAATCGAAAAGAACATCCAAATCCTGAGCCTTAAGTTGCCACCTATCTAAATAATCTAATGGTCTGTCTCGTGATTCCTCTTAAGCCTAAAACTCATGGTTTTATTTTTTCATTTTTACATAAGGATATCCTTCTATTATTTTTTTCAATAAGGATAATCTTGAAAGAGGATAATAATGGTTTTATTCCATGAAATTTCAGTAGTCAATAGTGTCAACAAACAGGACATTGACCATAAAGTATCACGAATCAGTTACGTGAGAGACTTGCAACTTGAGAAAAATTCCAAAACATTTGTAGGTGGGTTCGTTGTTGACTTCCCAAGTCTTCCCAAAAGTCTTCTTTGCCTTTTAATCTTATCTCTCACTTGATCTTATCATTGCATTGCCATTTCTGAAGCCCTCTTAAATTCTGTTTCTGTGAGTTAGAACTTGGAAGATGGCTGAGGCAGTTCTTGAATTTGCGCTTGAAAAGTTGAGCTCTCTCATAGGAAAAGAGCTGGGATTATTTAAGGGTTTCGATGGAGACATGAAAAAGCTTTGCAGCATGTTCACTACAATCAAGGCTACGCTTCAAGATGCTGAGGAGAAACAATTCTCAAATGAAGCTATAAAGGATTGGTTGCAAAAGCTAAAAGAAGCAGCTTACGAGGTGGATGACATCATGGACGAGTGTGCCTATGAAGAATTGCAGTTGGAGTACCAAGGAGTATCAGGCAAGGTACAATGCTCTTGCTTATCCTCTTTTCATCCTAAGAATGTTATTTTCCGTTACAAAGTTGCCAAGAGAATGAAAAGGATAAGTGAGAGATTAGATGAAATTGCTGAAGAGAGGCTCAAGTTTCATTTGACCGAGACGGCTCCAGAGAGAAGTGGAGTCATTGAGTGGCGCCAAACTAGCTCAATCATCACTGAACGACAAGTCTATGGGAGAAAAGAAGATACAAAAAAAATTGTAAACATTTTGACAAGTGATGTTGATGCTTTTCCTTCTGAGAATTTATCAGTTTATCCAATAGTAGGTCTAGGCGGACTTGGAAAAACCACACTTGCCCAACTCATCTTCAATCATGAGAAAGTAGTAAACCACTTTGAGCTAAGAATTTGGGTATGTGTTTCAGAAGATTTTAGTTTAAATAGAATGACAAAAGCTATAATTGAAGCAACATCAGGGCTGACTTGTGGGAATTTGAATTTAGAGCCACTACAAAGAAAGCTTCAAGATCAGCTTCGAGGTAAAAGATATTTACTTGTTTTGGATGATGTGTGGGATGATAAGCCAGATAATTGGCAGAAGTTGGAACGTGTATTGTCTTGTGGGGCGAAGGGTACTTCTATTTTGGTTACTACTCGTCTATCAAAGGTTGCAACAATCATGGGAACAATGCCTCCTCATGAATTATCAACGCTATCAGAAGATGATGGTTGGGAATTGTTTAAACACCAAGCCTTCGGACCAAAGGAGGAAGAACAAGTAGAGCTTGTGGTCATAGGGAAGGAGATAGTAAAAAAGTGTGGAGGAGTACCTCTTGCAACAAAAGTACTAGGGGGTCTTTTACGATTCAAAAGAAATGAAAACGAGTGGCTTTATGTAAAGGAAAGCAACATTTGGAGTTTACCGCACAATGAAAACTCCATAATGTCTGCCCTGAGATTAAGTTACTTGAACTTACCAATAAAACTCAAACAATGTTTTGCTTATTGTGCAATATTTCCCAAAGATAAAAGAATAAGGAAGCAATATTTAACTGAACTTTGGATGGCTAATGGATTCATTTTATCTAATGAAATAATAGATGCTGGAGATGTTGGCGACAATGTGTGGAATGAATTATATTGGAGATCATTTTTTCAGGATATTGAGACAGATGAATTTGGCAAGGTTACAAGTTTCAAGATGCATGATCTTGTTCATGATCTTGCACGATCTATTGGAGAAGGTGTTTGCTGCATTACAGAAGGCAATCATGCAACTACTTTGGTTGAAAGAGTCTACCATCTATCAGATCTTGCTAAGGAAGCCATTAATCCAATTCAGTTGCATAAAATCAAATCTTTGAGGACCTATAGAGGTTGCTATAATACTAGAAAACTTTATCCTAATGTACTGAAATGTTATTCTTTGCGAGTACTTCAATTCAGACAAAGGGAACAATTGTCATCATCGATTGGTAATTTAAAACATTTAAGGTACTTAAATCTTCTTGGGGGAAGCTTCATAACTCTTCCAGAATCATTGTGTAAATTGTGGAATTTGGAGATATTGAAACTAGACCATTGTTACCGTTTGCAAAAGTTGCCCAACAATTTAATACAATTAAAAGCTCTCCAACTGCTATCTTTAAATGATTGCCGAAAACTGTCGAGCTTGCCTCCTCGGATAGGGAAGTTGTCTTCCCTAAGGATTTTAACCACTTACATTGTTGGGGAGGAAAAAGGATTCCTTTTGGAAGAGTTAGGACCACTAAAGCTGAAAGGAGATCTTCACATGAAGCACCTGGGGAGAGTGAAAAGTGTAATGGATGCTGAAAAGGCTAATATGTCAAGTAAACAATTGAACCAATTGTCATTGTCATGGGACATAAATGAAGAGTCTGAATTACAAGAGTTTGAATTACAAGGGAAGATTCTTGAAGTACTTCAACCCCATACCCAACAACTCCAAATATTAAGTGTGGATGGATATAAAGGTTCCCATTTCCCACAGTGGATGTCTTCTAGTCCTTGTCTCAAATATTTAACTTATTTACAGTTGTGGGATTGCAAAAACTGTTTACAACTTCCGACATTGGGGAAACTACCTTCTCTAAAGTGTCTAAGGATATCTAAGATGATTAATATAAAATACGTATATGAGGAGTGCTATGATGGTGAAGTAGTTTTCTTGGCTCTAGAAAGTTTGTTCCTCTGGAAGCTTCCAAACCTAATAAGGTTATCAAGGGAGGATGGGGAAAACATGTTCCCACGCCTTTCTAGACTTACTATTGATGAATGTCCTAAACTTTTGGCAGAGACTTTACAACATATAACTGCTCTGAAGAAGTTAGAATTAAGGGATCTTCCAAACCTGGAATCCTTGCCTGTTTGCTTTGGAAACCTTCCCTTGCTTCGTGACTTGACTATTTATAACTGCTCCAAGTTGAGGTGTCTTCCAATGGGCCTAAGTTTGAGAAGTTTGAATATTGAAAGATGCAGAGAGGCCGAAGGTTTGTTTGAGGCTTTACAATTTATGAATTCCCTACA